AGCAGGAAGAGGGCCCACACCCCAAGAGAGCCCAGCACCAGGCCAGCTACCCAAGCAACGTGGAGCCAGGCAGGATCACTCAGTGCCCGTGGGCTCAAGGAGGCCATGCTCAGCTCCGCTGTGCCACGCGAGCCACGCCACGCCACTGCGCCGAGCAGGCAAGGGAGGAGGGCGGCAGGGGCGGGTGTGCCGGCCCCGTTAACCCTCTCTGGCTTCCCTGTCCACTGTCGGCCCAGATGGGTTCCAGATGTGCGCAGCCCCTCCTTTTCCTCCTCCCCACAGCAGGCCGCTCCCTCTGAGTCAGCCAGGCAGCCTAGGGCCTTAACCCCTCCGTCAGTGTGGCCAGAGCTGTGGGGCAGGAGGGTGGTGACAGGGCTCTGATAGGCCGGGGACAGCACCCCTCCCCCCGGTCCTGTCTACTTTTGTTCAGATCCCTTTCTCTCCTCCTGGAGGGATCGGGGTTTGGGGATCTAACTGGGGAGAGATCCCCGGGGGGGATGCAGGTTATTCACCGAATGGCTCGCCCAGAGATGCTCGCCCTGAGAGGTGCTCTCTGCAGGGCCGGCTTCTTTTCCCCTTCTGTCCCTGCTTTAACTGCCTCCCAGTTCAGATTCAAACAGCGGCACCACACGTTTTTCAGAGCGAAGTTTGTTCCAAGCCATAGTTTTGCCTTCAGGGAAAAAAGTGCCAGAACTAAGACACCCACTAAGCCTAAATCTGAGGAGATTCGAGACCTATAAATGACTTCTTCATACAGACTGAACAGTGCAATCAGACACGGCGGTGATGGCCGCCAGTTCAGCCTATTTCAAAAGGGGCGGGAGGAAGCCCGGCCAAATCTGGCTCTCAGGAGCTCCTGCTCCTCACGGTGGTTGGTGGTTCGCTCCTCCGGGTCACAGAGCAGCTCACCTCGTCCAAAGCCCTCTGGCTCAGTGCTGGACGGGGCCCTCGGTCTGGCCCCTTGCTTGGCACAGGATCCAGCAGAGCATCTCTGACAGAGGATCACCTGGCCTGCCTGAGGTCTTCCAGTGGGATTTTTTTTTAATGTTGTAATTCCAGCTTCTATAGTCACCACTTGTACTTGACTCTGAGCAGCTGACAAAGTTTAAAACAATGTGACAGAAATGTTATTGCCCGTGATCGAGAAGCCAGACTTCCACTGATGAAGCTGAAAGCTGGATTTGACATTTTTTTCAGCTATATTTAGTTGGCATTCAACTACTCTTCAACATGCTTTTCATGGGTATTATTATCAACCCAGACCTCATCCAATCTTCTATATCTTCATATTTAATTTTAGTTTTCTAAATAAAGAACGGTGCGCTATTTCATTCTGTTATGTTCAGTCCATTTCCTTAGCATCTACATTTTATTTGTGCCTTTTAGAATTATTAGCTATTATGTCCGATTTTGCATCATCTGGTAAGCGTTCCCTCCACCTCATCATCTAAATCATTAATGAAAATATTGAAGAGTTATAGGATCCAAAACTGAACTTTGCGGAGCCGAAATTGAAGAAACCTATGATTTTCAAGACAACTGTGTATCTACCTAATTGTGATGTCCTCCAAGTCATACACCTAAGTGGCTTGCTAATCACAACGTTATTTGTCAAACATGCTACAAAACCCAAGCTATATTATGTATATAGCATTCCCGCAGTCCACTAAGGAAATTAGCCAATTGAAAAATAAGATTAATAAGATTTGTTCTGAACTCCGTTATTTTCAGTCTGTTTACAGATCCACTGCTTGAGGAACCTTGAAAGATTCTTCCCAGGTTTGTAGCTCTTCTGTCCTCTTCTGTAGCTCTTCTTCTGTCCCATATTTGAAGATCAGGATATTCTGTATGCCCTGGCTCCTCGGCACTTCACCAGTACTTCAGAATTTCTGAAAGGGAATGCGCAAGATTTAGCCGTGGTCTAAATCCTTCAGCAGGCTAAGACGCCGTGCGTTCATCTAATCCTGGAGATTTAACCTAATCCAAATTAAAGCTGAAGCTTTAACCACCTCAGGCTTCAACTCTGCCCCTTTACCCTGTTTTGCACAATTTCCTGGTGAAAAGCATCGTTTTCTGATTCGCTTTGAATAATTAAACCAAAATGTAGGCGGAATAGCTCTTGACTTTCACTACGGCTGGCCCTTGGCCTTCCGGCTCTTTTGCTTTGATCGGGAACCGCTCCGAAGAAGCCCCGTCGGTCCTCCTCGCCGCCCCCCGTCCCGAGGCCAGCCCAGCATCTGTGCTTTCCCTGCGCCCTGCTGTCCCTGTGCTGCCTCTGCCCTTTTGAGCGCCCCCTCCCCGTGGATGCGGAGAAGGGCGGATGCGCAGGGCCCGGAGTCTGCCCGTCAGCGGGATAGGCGAGCAGAGCGGACGGCGCTTGGCAGAAGCCGCAGAAGGGAAGACCGAGCTTGACCGCGGGCCGGACCCGGCCGGGGTCTCGGAGGAGAACCCCTCCCCCTGCATCCCCGGGGGAGGGGCAGGGGCTCGGAGTGCTGCTGACCGCTCCGCTCTAAGCCCCTCCCTCCCTTCCCAGTCATGTGACCCAGAGCAAGCCGATCGCGCCCGCCCAGCGCGCGCACGTCGCAGGAGGGCAGGGCAGGGCAGGGCA